CAAAGGTATATGCAAGCTAAATTAGAATATAGTATAGTATAGTTGAATACTATAGCATCCTATCAATTAGAGAATTGGTAAAGGAGTACCTTGTGATAGAGTCTAGACTCCAAATCATAAAGTTTGTAGACTAATGTCAGCTTGAATATCTTCTAAAAAGAGAAGTAGTATAGGGTTAGGTGAACTTTAGTAAAATAAGAATAGATTACTAGTAAGTGTTATAGGGCTAGAGGGTTTAAATAGGTAATCTTCAAATAGTTTGCAGGTATAGCAGCTAGTGTAGAACCTTTGGGTAGACTACTTAAATTAAACAATCTAAAGTTATACATGTAGCTAATTGTACACTCACAATATATATCATTTACTCACTATCAATATTAATAAAGTTTCAGCTAATAGTATTTGTATAAAGGAAAAAAAAAAGTTTATCTAATTCTTGTTCTAAATACTTTTGTATGTTGAACTTTGAGAGTAAGTGTGTTTTCAATATGTGCTAGTATCTTAGATGTGTTAATACCTCTTTTAGGCATTCAAATTAAGAATTCTTCTTATTATTTCTTAGAAAGAAAGTTCTAGAAAGGCTTTTTGAAAGGTTTAGAGAAGTTTTTGCTTTAAGATAAGCTTAGTAAAAAAGTTGCAGAATTGTTTTCTAGGTATATCTTCAAAATTTCAGCTCAATTGGATAAAAATTAATTGATTTGTCTTAGTGACAACTAGTATTTTTTCAAATAAACCTGTCTTTAGGTTTTTCCTTTATACTTGCAGAGTTTGAGAAAGTATCTCATAGTCACCACTAATTTGTTAGGTTGCTTCTACTTCTTTAGAGAGAACAACTAACTAGAGAGACTAATAACAGTGAATACTTTGCATAATATCCTTATTACTGTATTTTGTCAAAGTCTTTAAAGTGTTTTTGTAAAACTTTACAAAAAAGATTTAAGATAATTTGCAATTATGAAAGAGGCAATAATTAAAGATATATGAAAATATCAATAAATATTTATTTTAAAGTATTAGAAAGGTACTTTTATTGTGAAAGAGTATGAAGACTTAATAATAAAATCAAGGTCCACATGTGTTACTTTTATACTTTACAAAATATTAGAAATATAACAGGCTACATATATTACATAAGATATATAAACTATAACTATTACTAATAAAATATATAATATAACTAATACATATATGAAATATATAATAAATATGATATGTGATATATATATGATAAGTAATAAAAATGTTTCAAAAACTATAGATAATAGATATACTATATGTAATAAATCTTACGCAGTAATCATCTACTAATTAGATTATATGTATTATAATAAAAAGCTGAATCTTAATTATCTTGAGATCTAGTAATTGAATTTTAATAATTCTTAGCTTATTAGAACCATTTCAGTGTGCTGATTCTAATAGTATATGTTTTATCTAATTCGAACTAGTAAATCAAAAGTTATTAAGGAATTTGTAGTTTTCTTTAATATTTTATAGGTCAACAGTATATTTCTTTTTTGTTTTCTAGCTTTTCTTTGGCCTCTTCATAGTCTTTTTTGCAATCAAATATTAATATAAACTATAAATTACCTTATTTGAACTTTTCAGATATTTTTTTTAAGTATACATTTCTTCTAATTAACTACCTTAATAATTTTTTTCTATATTTTATATTATTTCTAAGTACATTAATAGCTGCTACTTTCACTCTTATATTTTTTTCTCCTTCACATCTATTTTTACTTGATGCCCAGATGCTTTTCTCTAATAAAAAGTCAGATTCTACAGGCATCAAATCCTTTTCTAATTCTTCTGTAGTATCAGAGTACTGATTTTGACTTATTCTGAATGTATCTTTGTTCTGTATTTCTTTAATATCTTCTATTAGACTATATATTTCTTTACTTTTTTTGCTTGTTAGAGAGTAATTTACTAATACTACTTGTTCTTCTTCTATACTGTTATCTATTTTTGCTGAATCTATTTGTTCTACTATTTCTATCTCTGATTTATTCTTATTTTTTTAAATTGTTAATTCATTACTTTTTGCAGTTATATCTTAAGCTTCTTGTCCTAAAACTATTTTGACTTTATCTATTTCTTCTATCATTACAGCTCTCTCTATAATCTTTCTTTATTCTCTTGCTAATATTATTATATTACTCTCTACTTCTAGTATTTCTATAATCATTCTATCTATGTGATCTTCTTAACCTATTACTGCTTTGCTTTCTTCAGTAATTATTTCTTTGCTATACACTTTAGTTACTATTTCTACTAGTCTTTTTGCTTTTTCTCTGTTCCACATACTTTACTTTCTATATATGGGGTGAGTCAATAGAAAAGGGACAAATCATTTTTAGTAAAATTTTTTTAATTTTTAAATTTAAATAACTCAACAACTATTTAATTAAATTTGCTAAAAATTGGTTTATTTTAATCTTGAAATTATATAGAATTAAAATAAAAAAAAATTTATTAAATTTAATTAGTTAGTTGTTAAGATATTTAAGTCTAAAGTTAAGAAAACTTTTACTTAGAAAAAATTTGTCTCTTTTCTATTAACTCACCTCCATATTCTATAATCTAAAAGTGATCTCATCTTTTTTAAATAATTCCTTATAGAATTTCTTAGTTGCTAGTAAACTATCTAGTTTTGGTCTTGTATATAATATCTCTACTGTTAAGCACATGACATATAATTTTCCTATGATATATTTTTGTTTACCTTAATTTGTACATATTTATACTATATCAAATGATCTGCAATTTAGAGTTTATTTGATTCCCTAATTTTCTAAAAAAAATTTTTCTGTTATCTATTTTCAAATTGAAACTTCTTTTATAATCTTGAATTTCTTTGACTTTTTTCTTATTTTTTTTCAAAGATATATATATTTTTCTATGCTCTTCTCTTTTGATTAGTAGTTTTTGTATTCATTCTAGGTAGAAATTTTGAGTTTTCTTGTTTTTTTCTTTTGCTCTAAATTTGGTCAGAGTAATTGATGAAAAGAGTATACTGCTAATTGTAATCTGTTATTATAGTTGTTTAGAAAAATTATTATTAGATTAGAATATATACTTTTTTTTATTATTTTAATCTGTGGTTAAAATAAAGTTTTGTTTCTATCTTTATTTTTTTTTATTTTATTTTTTTTTTTTAACATTTAAGGTGGCTTACATTGCCGATGGGATTTTATTAGTATTTGCATATGAAATTATATATTGATAATCCCTACTGTTTGTAATTACATGAAGAGTGTACAACAAGCTACACGTACAACTTTAGTCATTGTCTAATTTAAGTAGTCCGCCGCACAGGCGATTAGACCACCTGATTGGTTCTACACTATGCTGCCATACCTGTAACCCACCTGTGAGTTACCTATTTAAACACTCTGTTCATTAACCTATACAGATCCAAACCTAACATCACTGTAACACCTAACTGCTTAAGCCAGCTAGCTCGTTACAGATCTATTTACTCAAGTCAGCTTAGGTCCTCTTAGGATACACTATACTAGACGCATTGCTAGTATTGCAGAGCTGGTTAACCTCGAAGCAAACTCACTAGAGCGGCCCGTACTCATTTTACGGGATCACCTAGATTAGACCTTTGTAGATATTCATACAACCCCAGTTCCTACTGTGGCTCTCCACCAGTTTTCTGTATTCTATTTTCTTGGATATTTCATGAGGCAGATTCTCCCAATCCAGTTAGCTGCCAAGCCAGGTTGGTGTTACTAATCTTCTCTATGGAATAGATTTATGTGTACCCGACTCGATCTGCATCTTTTAATCATAGTTTCCTTTCTGAATCAAGTGTTGACCAGTGTGACTATTGAAAGCCGTACTACTTCACCTACTCAGGATTTCTACTATGCAGGTCCTCTGCCCGTAGATCCTATCAAGATTTATTCGTGTAATATTACATCTTGCCAAATGCCCCATCACACTTCCAATATCCGGATGATATTGGTGCAACGTGATTTATAGGGTTACAACTCCAGAAACAGACAAGGTTTACCGTAAGTTAGATACAAAGGTCCAGGTAATTATTCAAATTCATCAACAGTAGGATTTGAACCCCAAACCTTTTGTATAACGGTCTGGCAACCTAACTACTACACTAAGATCGCTAGACCTTTCTATTAATAGATTTTATATATGAAGTTGCTATAATACTATCTAAAAAATTAAAATAATCAAATTGTTTTTTTTTAAAAAAAAAAAAAAAATTACTTGTAAATCTAAATTTAATAAAACAATATGATTAAGAAGTTTTTGATTTATAAATAAATTTCAGATACTTTCAAATATTAGAGTAGTTGTATTAAAGCTTTCTAAAACTCTAATTAAATATATCTTTAACAAAACTATTTTGATAATAATAAAATTTATTAAGAAACTTTTAATACTTATTATCTAAAATAGATAAAGTAAGTTAAAAAAAATATTTTATAAATAGCTGAATTAATAGCAGAATCAGTATTTATAAGTATTATATTTAGAATTATACTAGTTGCTTTAATTATTTGATTGAACATTTATATATATGACTCTATGCTTTTATTAGCTAAAAAGTCTTGTGCAAATAGTATATTATTAAACCTAACAAAAAGTAATAAAGCTATTCTGTAATGATTTGTCTTGTGTATATTATCATTAAGAATATAGTCTGAATATTTTATTTAGTTTTCTATTTGTTTTGGAATTATCTACATTAAATATGTTGGAACATTATTATTATCTCAACTTTGTACTATATACTATTAAAAATCAAGCTCTTTTTGCTAATCGAGCTAATTTGAAACTTGGAATACAATAAATTTTGTATTAGACAAAATTTACTAATAGTTGCATATAGGTCTTTCGAGTAAATAAAATGTAACAAATATTTATTTTCAAGAAACTTTCTCTGATTTGTAGCACCAAATTTACAAAAAACAGTTATAAATCTAATATCATTAATTATTTCTTTTGTAAATTTTTTAGACTTCTCAAATTCTATCATTTTCCTGTTTAAAACATGATTGTAATTTTCTACAACTTTATTTACAAATACCAAATCCCTAGGATTTTTAGTTTTAGGATACGAAGCATTAACCAAAAATAGACATTTTATCTTTTTTGAAGCCATATCTTTACTTGAATTGGAATCATAATTTCAACCATGATCACATATAAATATTCGTTGTCATATTAATGTTTTTTTATGAAATACTCGATCTTTGATCATTCGAAAACCTTGTTTCTTGGCCCATTCAGATAAAAATGCCTCATACGGTTTCCAATTTGAAAAAGTTTTTCCCTCATACAAAGTTACAGTTTCAGTTTCAGCAGTAGATTTATTTAATGCGATATCATCCATTTTCTAATACAAACGAACCTACCTAAAAGTAGTCAAAAGGATAACGTGTTAATAAAATATTAGTCATTTATATAGTAATAGTTGTTACTATGAAGTAATTTTTTAAAATACAGTCGCTATAGATTTATATCAATTTTATGTAATTTATAATGACGCGAAACAAATTTATTATATTAAATATGCGATTAAAATTCAGATCAGATGTAACAAATACAATTAATAATTTATACAGTATTTAATATAAAATTTTAACTTAGTTTTTTAATTATATATTATCCGTTATAGGGTATAGCATTATAATGCTATAGCAATAGATTATAATATTCTTATTTTAATAAAAATTTTTTAGCCCATTTTTTTACAGCTTTTTGTTTATAATTAGGTTAGAGTTAAGAGTTAGTGTTTATAATAAAAGAGTATAGGTGGTTTTAGTAAAGTTTGTATTTTTAAATCTCGAATTTCAGCATCATCCGATTTTAACATCATAATATTTTTTTTAAAAAATATATATTAAAATTAAAATTATTTTGTTTAAAATTATTTGTTTTACTAAAAAAGAGTCAGCAAATTAAACAGAATTATGAATTTAATAAAATTAGATCTTTGCTAATAAAATGACTTATCGAAACATAGTTCCGATATCATTTTTGTTAGTGAAGATCTCATAAGATAAATCTTTAAATTTTGTAAATCACGATTATCTAATATATTAATATAAATCCAGATTTAACTATTCAGAACTTAATCATCACTTATTTTAAATCGATGAAAAAATGTTTTACCTAAATATTGAAATAAGAATATATAACGAGAAATAATTTTATAACGAACAAGATCAAAAGATTGTGCATTAGACAATTGATCTACAAAATTTGCAAACTGCGATAATCAGAATCAAATCAGTATATCAGATCAAGCCTAATATTAAAACTCCCGTGTTTTAATTTTAGGGTTAATAAAGCAGATTAGTATCAAGTATAGTTTAGGTTTTTAAAATCGGGCCTGTACACACCACTTAGATAACCGCATCAAAAACAATAAAATTATGTAAAAAGTTTAGATCCGAATCGAAAGGTGAAAATAGACCAATTAAATCTACAACAGTATGTAATCTTGTAATAAATCTGATTGGTCAATTCTACCTGGTTTCAATGACTATTGTATTCCTTACATAACAGATAAGTACTTTTAAAAAAGTTATAAGTACAAATTTACTACTATACAGCAGTTGTCAAAGTTAATACGTACGGTTGATCTATTATATATATATATATATAATTCTGGTTACATACTATTAAATACTTTATAGTAATCGCTATTGATTTTAACAAATTAATATAGTACTACGTACAAGATTTGTTTGCATAATGTGATTATACAGATTTGTACGTACTTGGCTTTCATTTTGTCCCAATTAAAATTTAAATCAAATACCCTAATACGCTTTTATAAATCAATTTGTAAAAAAAAAAAAAAAGATATTGGTTTGTTTATTTATTTCAATACATATTAAGCCCAAGCACAAACCGTGTATTGAAACAAATTCTACTCTAAAATTACAATAGCTTTCTAATATAATAATTATGTATATAACACAATGACAGAATATTTATGAAAATAAAGGATTTTTCTGTTACATAGAAATCATTATAATTTATGTGACTAATACTTACTCACACTGATCATTATTACTCTATTAAATAATTCATTTTTATTATTCCCACGCATTTCCGGATTCAAACATCATTATAGATTAAAGTAGGAACGTACGTAGTACTATTTGTATTCTAGAGAGATTTCTACGTAATATGCAATCAATTACAGTAAAATAAATAAAACTATTACATACATCTAGATAATTCAGCCAATTTTTTTGTGAATCATATTTTGCAGTTATACGTATAAATTTATCAACAGATATCTTAAGAATCAGTCATAACTATATAATAAAGTAATTACAACTATTACATTTAATTTTTTTATACAATAAGTATAAAACAATATATTTTTTTTAACGTTAAATTATAATTAAAAAACTAGTAACTAGGTAATCGCAAAATTCATTTTGATTTAGCAACCCACATTACACCTACACCGATAGCAACTCCAATGGAAAGGAAACCTCCGATCGTCACAGCTGCAGCGCTTTCTGAAATAGGAAACTGTGTTGGTTGAGTAGATATCCGAGCGGAGGGTATGTCATCATCATTTTTAATGGTACGATGAACTTTATTTAACGAATTAGACTTTGTTTCAACACATAATCGAATCAATGGAGATTTTTGACATTTTGCAACATCCATAGCGATGATCATATCTTCATCTGAAGTTAACATAATTTTATCATTTTCTTCATCGATATAGCTAATAGATATATCAATTTTTTCGGAAATGTGCATCTTTGATCGAACTAATTTGCATAATTCAGAGAAGTTTTGAGTATCAGAAGTGAATCTATGAGATTGGTCAGATCCTTCGTATTTACACTTGTATATAAAATGACCATCATCTAATTTGTTGAAAATACGGGAATCTCTCCGTGAATAAACACTTTCCGTTGAAGGAGGAGTCAGAATAGTAGAATTAGGTCTTTGCCTTATTACAGGAAGATCTACAGAATTTGATAGTAAAGTATCGTTTATAGGAGGATCTGACGAACCCTCAGATTTAGGATCTTCAGGTGTTAAAGTATTCCAAAATTTATTCCAGACAGGGCCGTCTTCCACTTGTTCACCATTTAATGTTCTCAACTGAAATATTATAAATAAAAATTAATAATAGAAACATAAAATAAAATATATTAAAGAAAAAAAAAAGAAAAAGGGAAATAACTAACAGTATTCAATGTTGAATAAGTGAGTTTTAAAATATCAACCAACCCAACAATGATCTTTTTGCCATTGATTACGGGTAAATGTTGATAATGTTCATCTAAAATCGTATATATAAAAATTAAAGAAATAGTATAAGAAATAGTGTAAAAAGTAGTGTAAAATAAACAATAACACATAAAATAATAACAAAATAACAATAAATACCTTGCATTTGACGCAGGGCTTGCAGGATTGTGGTATCAGTTGTTACCATATCCGGGCAAGGAGTCATTACCCTTACGGTTGAAGTATTTGTTGGTTCAACACTTTGACCATAGATTCTGTATGTAGCAAGTACATATAATCAATTAACATATAGTTGTGTAAAAATAAAGATATACAAAAAAAATAAAAAATAAAAATTACCTAGTTACTATGTCTTTTGTTGTAAAAATACCCACAGTTTTATGACTACTATCATCGACAACTAAGACCGCAGTCTGATGACATTCCTTCATTATTCGAGCAGCATCTCGTACATTCGTCCTAATCGAAACTTCAGGAGGAGACTTTGATGAATCAATAACAGAGTTCAATCGAGGAAAACATAAATGTTGTTTTATGAGCGCAGCCATGGTTGAAAAATCAGCTTTATTTAAAGAGTTTATATCTGTAACATCTTCTAAAACAGCAAATAGCTGTTTTGTTGATGCGTGAGCTTTTTCAAGTCTTGCGAGAGCATGAAATAAACATTCGGTAATATCAAGAAGTCCTATGATTTCACCTGAGTCATCAAGAAGTGGCTATATAATATTAAAAAATAAAAAATTAGATTAAATTAAAAATAAAATAAAATAAAATAAAATAAAATAAAATAATAAAATTAAATAATAAAATTAAATAATAAAAACAATTACAAACCAAATGTCGGTATCCACCTGAAACCATGCGATTTAAAGCTTCATGAGCAGTAGAAGATGTTGTAACACAATCAGGATCCCTAGTCATTATATCTGCGAGGGATGTTGCATTAGGATTGAGACCTTCAGCGCACACCCTGAATGCCAAGTCTTTATCTGTAACAATTCCTATCAAATTCTCTGATTCATCTACAATGAGTACTGCTGTAGCTCTATTATTATATTTTCATAAATTATTATATTTTTACAAATTATTAAATTTTCTTTAAAAAAAAAAAGGGTAAACATATTAAGAAAAGAACAAAAATTTCCACCTGCTTACGGCCATAAAGCGTGCTGCATCCATTACAGTAGCTGTCTCTAAAAAATTTAAAATATATAAATTATTATATAATAAAAGTTAGACTTACTTCTCTGTATTCCCAAGATTTAGTATATAAGAAATTAAATCCAAGGATTAAAAAAGGTACTTACCTAATAAAGTTATCGCGGTAGAAGGTCTCAAGCTCCCAACTGAACCTGCTGTCTTTGGTATTTTATCAAGAGTCCTTTTACCATAAAGTTTATTCGTTCTAGTAAGATCATGTTCAACTTTCTTCCTTATTCGTTCGTCCTTTTCAAGCTGTCTCTTCCTTGCAATGTCATTAGAATTGTTAATGTTTGTAGTTTCACCGTTTTTCGTTTCACTACTTGTGCGTTGTAGACGAACGGAGGACGGCCTCAACATATTTTTATTGGAATTTTTAATTTTTCGGAAAAAAGAGAAGGAGTTAAAGAGTGAGAGAGATATATATAGTAGAAGTTAAAAGAATGAATTAAAATAATGAAATCTGAAAACTGTCATATAGTATAGACAAACAAATAGTAGCGCGTGATTACACACTACTAACATCATCGAAACATTTTTAGCTTAAGATTAACAGATGTGTAATGCACATAGTGTGCTATCAAGGGGACGCATGAAATACTAAAATAGGTCGAACTATTTATAAAAATCCTGTATATTGTTGGGCTAACGGAAGAAACATGTATATGTTATCTCGTTTAAGAGGCATTCTTCGTCCGTACGCACATACGTGCAGTAGAAACTTTAAAGGCAGTTGTGAAAATTATTACTTTGTTTAGTTGATACGATGATGTAATTACGAAACGTGGAGTTGTCTATTTAATTTAAGGCAAAAATCTACAGCATTTTTAAAAAATTATTATATTTATAAACTTATTTTAGTATGTATTTTAGTTACATAGTCATTCTTTGAATATCATCTTTTACATTTCCAATTTCTTTTATTCAAGTCACTATAACAATAATACTAATAAATTTAGTCAGGTGTAAAATAAGATATCGTGAAAGTTGAGATTTAATTCCTTGTGATAATCTTTTTCCTCACGCACAAAGGTTGTATTATCATATGATATGTAAACTTTTTTTTAATCAGACTTTATGGGTTTAATAAAGAAATAACAAATTTACCTTATTAACACGAGTTTATCTACAGTTTCTTTAAGTACTTAAATTTTGTATCATATAAGCTTTTTTTACGCAATATATAAAAAATAAATAAAATTCCAACCTCTATATTATGATAAAAACCTAACGCTAAATAAATTATCTAAAGTCATATATATTACATTTTACAATATATATATGGGATCTTTGCTAGGAAAATCACCCTTCGGGATTTTCCTAACGGGCCAATTCGGAAAGACTTAGACCAGAATACCAGTTCTTATTTATATATAAGTCGTCTTTTTACCTTTATCGATGCAATAATTTATTTAATAAACTATTATATCGACAAGATAAAAGATGATTTGCATATAAATAACGATAAGAACTGGTGTTCTTGTCTAAGTCTTTCCGAATTGGTTCGTTCGGAAAATCCCGAAGGGTGATTTTCCTAGCAAAGATGTACCCAATTGAATTTATTTTCGCAAGCCTCAATTTTGATTCTAATTAGGAATACAATAAAATTTTTATATTTGATATTAAATTTAGCATTGAATTAATATAATTTTTTTTTACTTTCATTATAAAAGTTTACTATTGTCTCGTCAATGCAGTTTAAAACTATTTCTTTTATGTTTATGAATATGAAAATAAGATTAAAAGAAAATATTAAATATGAATCCTAAAATGCTTAAGATAACCAACATTTAATTTTCTTAAATCGTTTTCAACAGCTTATTTAGTTTTTTTCTCAGTTAATAACATTATTATTATTTTTTATAGATAGATCATTCGGCCGAAAATTTATGTATTGCTTCGCTTCTGCGAAGAATAAACAGTTTGCAATCACTTCCAATATTTATATTTACCAATTTGAAAAAAAAACTCTTATTAATAATATCGCTTTCATAAGTATTATCTTTATTTTTACCTTTTCGTTTATATCACTCGGTTTATTTGTTCTTGAATCTTTCTGTAAAGACAGTTAGTTGCTTGATTACATTATATAATACCAAATTTTCAAAGTACCGGTAATCAATCTTGTCTGCCAGATAAACCTCCTAATAAGTATAACGCGTTAAATAAAATGTAGAAACTAATTAGACCAATTTGAAGAGCTTTTTTCTATTACTTCTTTGAAAAAAATATATTGGGATATAATTTTGGTTACTTCTATATACTCATCACCGCGTAATCAACCAATAGAATTTGTTGCTAGCGCATGGTTTTACGTTACACGAGCCATTACAGTAGAGTGACATATTCGCCGATTTGAAAAATAATTTTCGATCCTTTAATTATATTAAATACGGATTGAATCCGTCTCAGATAATATATTAAAAAAATTGACCGAATGTTATTTTTGCCGATTTGATAAGTTTTTGACTTCGCGATTACGGAATAAAGTGCATATCTTGCTAATGACCGATAATGATTGAAATGAACGTGATCAAATGAAAACCAGCAAGTAAAAAATTTAAAATCTAATAAGTATATAATATGTAAAGTTTACATTACAAAAAGGGCTAAGCTCGACTTTTAAGTTTCTTTTTTGATGCACTTAGTTTAGGGTTAGGGTTAAATATTATATTAGGTAGTAGTCTATATCAATAATATAACAACTCCTAACTCAGGTTTTACCCGTTATAATATATTTAATAAGAATATAAATTAAACAATACAAATTGCTAGCTTTATATATTTATATAACAGGATATAGATTTAATATGTTTTATTTTTTATTTTTTATATTTTTCAACAAGCTATTCACAGATTATTTTATTAAGTATTATTCTTAAGTATACTTTTTTTTTTTTTTAACCTTTTTAGCAAGTCATGCCAATACTTTATTTGCAATAAATTTTGTACTTGACAAAAATATTAGAATATATATTTACTTACAATATATCTAACTACGCAATTTTTTAAGTATTAACTCACTTAGTTATCCTAAAAGTACCTATGTGCGATCTGCCATAGAGAATCTTTTCCCTTATCATTACTATCTAATCTTTCAAAAAAATAATAACAAATCCCTGAGTGAATACTACAGCTCATCATGACTTTTTGCTTATACAATAGACTATTACCAAACTGATAATAGTTTCTCATATAGTGAAAAAGATAAATAAAAATTATATATATAACAAAAGACACAAAGATCATGTGTCATATAAAATAGTTGAGTAGAGAAAATCTGCTAACAAGAAAAAATCTCTAAACAACAAACAAATAAAGAAAAAAAACAAACAAAGTAAAGTCCTACTACTAAAGTAACAGACCAGATAAAAATTATGTATATATAATACCTAAGTTATTCTTTAGATTCTTAAGAGAGTAAAGTACTATCTTACAAAGAGAATATTATCAACACAGATTTCCTATAGCATATGTTAGGTTTAACACGTATTTATTGTTTGTATATGATATAGAAAACAACAGGCTAGTTAGTTGCTAAGCTAGATTAGTATTGCCTTTCGTATAATATTACATTACGCTTGACTTTTCTATTAGACTAAGGACTTACTCGCATCTACTCGTCTGCATTCTTCGTACCTAGACTTTTTCCAGATCAAGCATCAAATTGGTGTGACCATCAAAATTCATACTATATCACCTAACTCAGGATTTCTACTATACAGGTTCTCTGCTTGTAGATCCTATCAAGATTTATTCATATAACCTTACATTATATTTGACTTTTCCATTACACTTCTAATACCCAATTGATATTGGTACAATATGATTTACAGGGTTACAACCCCAAAAACAAATAGGGTTTACTGTAAGTTAGATACAAAGGTCTGAGTAATTATTCAAATTCAGCAACAGTGGGATTTGAACCTCAGACCTCTTATATGGTGGTCTGGTAACCTAACCACTACACTAAAATTGCCAGACATCATTACTATCTAATCTATTGAAAAAATAATAACAAATCTTTG